GAGGGGGACACCTGCACGTGGTGTTGTGCCTGGCACCAACTTGGTCCGTTATAATCCAGAGGCGAGTCCTTTAAGCTGCCTTTTGCCTCTGCTGCTAAACACTAGGCTGGCCATCTGGGCTCACGCAGCCTCCAAAATTGCCCTAAATAGGCAGATCTCCAGATCCTGGGAGGCAACATGAATAGATTGCACATGGCATCTCAAAACCAGCTTTGCACTCGGAAAGTCAGCGTCCAGCGTGAGGTCTTCCTCCGTTAGTTTTCCTGCAGAGCTGGTGCCCTTGCCCTGCCCAGGACAGCATTTAGCCTTGTGCAGTTGCTCATGCGCTGCTTAGGACACCAGGCAAGCCAGCTATTGAACACGGGTACCTCCCCTCCAGCACCACGGCCCCGCATCACATCCTCCAGGGCCTGTCAGAGTTCTTCAGAATAATTAATCTATTCCATATCCTCTTCTAGAACCATCCTGCTGCCCCTATATTAAAGGTGAAGCTGGTTAGATGTGAAACTCCAACAGTGAAAATCTACCATCTGTGTCTCTGCCATCGTTCAAACTTTTCCCTTGCAAGTTACTTGATCTCATTTTGATCCAAATTCTGTCCCCTCTGTCCCTGGTGTGGGGCATCTTGCAAAACACGTTTTGCTCCTCACCTCTGTGTCTTGCGTGCCAGAGTTAGAATTGGAAAGACCAAGGTGGCGTTGCTTGCCTTATCTTGCTCTCCAAGAGCACTGGTTCCAAGACAGTCTCTGAGAGCTGCTGACAAACTATTTCCAGGGGCAATGCTGATGCTTAGAGGGAGCAGGGAGTAACTAACCTACGATGACACCAGAAGGTAATGGCTGCTGTTGTACCTACGCTTACGTAGCTCTAACTTCCAGCAAGTTTCTCCTGTCATTTCGAACGAACCTTGGCAGGAAATTGCCAGGCTTAGCCAAGGCCAAAGCAGCTTTATAGCGGTGGGTGATGTTGGGGTCTCTTCCCCTCCTCTACCCTTTTCCCATTTAGCCTTGTTCCAAATTTGCACCACAGATGGCAGATTTTCACTCCAGTTTTGAGACAGAAGGATGTATCGGAGGCTGTTTTTATTTCCACTGAATTGAACTATGACCCTTTGCTGCTTTGTCTCTCTCTCGCGCGCTTTTTAAAACCTTCCTGCCATCTCCTGCGTGGAGATCTGCCCACGTACACGCTCCCCCCACCTCTTCCTCTCTCAAGCGCTGTCTCTCCAACCTGTGTCCTGATAGCTAACCAGCCTGCTTTATTAACCTTAGCTAGTTCCTAACCCTAACTAGATGCTAACTTTTCTCTAGCAAATAACCTAACCTCTTAACTAGAAGCTGAATATAACTAGAATCTAATATCCTAACACTATAATACCTCTCTTCCCTCAACTCCTTTGAAAAATAAAGGTGAACTGTAATCAGTATCTGTATATTTTTACCTTCTATCCTGAAAATGGAGGATTGAACCGCAGCACAAGAAGGATGAGCAGGGCTGAAGGATAAGGAGGGAAGGGGGTTTCTGGTGGTTAAGGCAGAAGATTGGCACGCAGGAGGCTTTGACTCCTGTTCTTGCCTCTGCCACAGACTTCCCTCTGTGACCTTGGGCAAGTTGCTTCACCTCTACCTCGGCTTCCCCAGCTGTAAAGTGGGGGCAGTAACGCTGCTATAGCTCCCTAGGGGAGAGGAGAGGGCGGAAGGCTGGTATTTATCAAGCACTGTGCTATGCGAGCCCTGGCTGGGAGGCGCTGCAGAGCGACAGCGTTGTTAGCATTGCGGAGAAGCTCTTGCGTGTCTCCCTAGTAAGAGGCAATACTTGTAATTGCGGTATCTGCCCTGTTCTCAGGATTGGGGTAAAAACCAACCGGTTAAACCCCCTTCTTTGATAAGCTGTGTGACAAGTTTGAATGCCACTGTGAGCAAAAGGACCTGCCGTGTTTTCAAAGGAAGATGGTTGCAACCTCAGGAGGTCAAACGGGGGGACAGTGATGTTACCGTTGACTGCGGCGTGGGTCACCAGCCGCAACGTCACTTCCTCCCATTTGTGAGACCTGCCTAGGCAGAGGACTCAGGTTAGGCACTGAGAGACAACTGGAGGGGGTTTGAATAAAAATAACCCAAGGGAGATGCAGTCAACAGGCAAGTGTATCAGGACTCTGCTCTCTCCATACACCCCCCCTCCCCACCCTGGCGTTAGGGAGGCTTCCAGAGCAGTTGCATGAGGTGGCCCTTGCACTTGTGCAGCAGCGTGGCCGCCTTTAGCGCAGAGCATCTGGCTTTGGTCTCTGTGCAGAGCCACTGAAGGATAACTGAAGGTCCTGATAAGGACATGCATTGAATTCCTCGCACATCTGTGCCGATTAACTTAAGTTTGGAGCTGGGAATTTGCTAGCAAAGGTGGGATCAAACCTGCAACTCTTAATGTGATGCAAGGTACCTGGATGTCCCTTTCCTTATCCTAGCCCTTATGGCTAGCATGGCCATAATTCTGACCCTTTTCTCCCAGGAGTGATGAAGATAAATGCAGGTTCATCATCCGTTCTGCCAGTAGCAAACAGTAATGTTAGCTGAGAGCTTGAAGACTTCCTTTGTGTTCTCAGCAACAAAATGGAGTGAGTCTTAAGAGCTGTGAAGCCAAGTGCCATGGAGGCTCTGTAAACAGCCAGCTGAATTGGACTGCTTTAAAAAGGGCATCCCCACCTTGACTACCCCGAACCCTCTTCAGTCTGTCCCTGTGATTTAAGATGAGGTAGAGCAGGAAGTTTCCTACTGGGAACTGTCTTCCTTGACTCAGGTCCTTTTCCCACGGGCAGTCCAGGTGTTTGGGGTTTTACAGTCTTTTCACTTCTTTTCTTTGTTTCCTTTGCAGAAGGTACACCGATCCGAGGTAAGACACCCCCAAGTCACTTACTCACCCACTCTCCAAACACTTCTCTCCACTCAGTTCCTGTTTCATTGACCTGTGCTCAATACAGATTCTTGTTGTTGTTGTTATGTTTTCTTGTCCTGCTTCACCTTCGGATATTTCTTTTTTTATACCTGTCTTTATTTTATATATGGTTATAATGTCCTCTTTTGTTTGCTGGGTGCACTTGGTAATACTGATACTGTTATTCTAATAACATCTCAGGCTGTGCTGCCTCAGATTTATGGCAAAGTTTTAAGAGCTAATCTCTCCAGGACTGTGAAGGACTGAAGTTTATCTTGAGCATTAAATGCTATCAAAGCTTGGTAAATGCTTAGGGCCTTCTCTTGGTTGGTGCAAAGTGCTCCTGAGCCACTGATGGTGGTGAAAGTTTTGCAATCCTTTGCTCAGTCAGATCCTCAGCACGTACCATCTCGACGTACTCATTTGTTTGGCTTTAGAGCCTTCCTTCCCCTTCCCCTTCCTCCCCTTAGGTTTTGCTGGGAAAGATACCCTGGTAAGTAGCTTGTGCACTTCGGCAGTAAGTGGGTGTGCACCCCTTCGAGGACCCTGCTTTGGTTTTATCTACACTGGCAAATTTAAAAGTCCATAACTCCCCACTGGTAAAAGCAACAGGAGGTGCTGTAGGTGAGATTTACTTTTTCACACATCATCTCTGCTGGCTCCTGACAAGTGCTGAAAACTCATTGACCTCTCCACAGTGTAATTTCCACCATTGCATTCACCAGCAAAGCTGCAGAGGTCAAGATGAAAGGGGGGAGTCCTTATTCCCCTGGCGAAGCTGCTTGCCTGCAGTCCATGGTTCTGTTCCGGCTCTGCAGGGTGGCTTCGTCTCCCCTGGCGTAGGCTCAGCCACTGCTCATGAGCCACACAAAAAAAATGTGTCTGGAACCCGTGGAAGCAACCCACAGACGTGTCCAAATTAACAGAAATTTCTACCAACACTCCCTGACCAGCTCTCCACCAGTGGAGCTTTCGGATGACAGAGCATGCCCGAGCTGTAATTCAGTATGAAATATGCTCAGCTGGTGTCTCGGTGTGAAGCTTCAGTTTCTTTGGTTTCTAACTCCTGTTATACCCACAGATTCTTTCGAAATGAATTTAGTTTGGTTTAGTGGCTTGGGTGGGGTTTTTTTTTTGTTCTGTTTTTTAATTCTCTCTGTTCTGCCTTTGGGAGCTATCAGACACAGTGGATGCTGGCGGGAGTCTCACCATCACACCCCATCCCTGTCATAAATTCACAGCCTCACGTCTTCCCACGCAGCATCCTTTTTCACCAATCGCACACAGAGGAACATGGGCTCCGTGTCCTCATGTGAACACACTGGTTTTTCCTTCCTGAAGAGGCTGTATCTGCAACCAACGCTGATATCAATTGCACTTTTCTCACTTAAGATTTTATCAATAATACTACGCCGAGCTGGAATTATTTGGTTTTCATATTTAGGGGTTTGGGTTTTTTTTTCCAGCGATGGGAGCTAAGAGTCTTACCACATGTGAGCTCTGTCCATATCTGTAGTATAATCATGTACTCCTAATACATAAAACATTTGATAGCCTGTTGAATTATGTATGGAGTATGTATTTTAACTGGAGTTTTGCAGGGATGAAGCCTTCTGAGGTAAATGAGGCAATTTTCTTCTGCGTAGTTACATGCTGCATATCTCCGCATGTTTGCTTACAGGAGTGTTTCGTACGGGCTCGGGGTATATCCTTACAGCCTGCAGTAATGTACAGGTTTAAGAAAAAGCCTTAATCCTTTTGGCCTGGCTGGTGTAAAGCACACAGGCCATTTTGAAGTTCCAATGCGGTATTTACAAGGTTTTCCCTTGGCAAAATTCACTATCCGTAAGGTGCTTTTCACACGGACTTTTACCTCCTGCAGGCTTCCTGTGAATCAGGTATTTTAGGCACAAAACAAAGGCAGCGGTGATAAAAATGCTCCGGGGATCGTAGGCAGTGGGTGGCAAAGGCTTTTACTTTTATGGGCACTGCTTCAAATGGAGCAAGGGGAAGCCAACGGCCTTCTGATAGATTCCTGGGGATCACAGTCATGGGCATTATTGAAGCTGATTTCATGAGTTCTGGTGCAGAATGTCTGCATTGCAGAAGCCACAAAAGGTGCTGCTTTTGCTGATCATTTCAGTATGGAGAGTAACCCTTGGTATAGAGCGGGGGCGTTATTTTCTCTTCCCGCGGCGTATGTGTCCAGCCGTAACGCTGAACGTTGGCTGCCATCGGCAGAGGGCTCAGGGCTTCCAGAGCTCGTAGCCCAAGACGCACCAGGGAGCCGTCCCAGGGTGTGTTAGCCCAAGGGGAGGAGAAAGCAAAACATTTGCTCCCTCTTCCAAACAAAACAAAATGGTGATGATGGTGTCTTTGCTGCGGTCTTCTTCTCTCCTCCCAGGTGGCCTGCAGATTGAAAGCAGCGAGGAGACAGACCAGGGGAAGTACGAATGCGTCGCCAGCAACAGCGCCGGCGTGCGCTACTCCTCCCCTGCTAACCTTTACGTGAGAGGTAGGGAGCGCATCGGCTCACAACACTGGCAAATCCCTCCCTCCCCACGGCCTTCCTTTGTCCCCAGCTGTTTGATTCGGCCCCTGTCCCCCAGCGCAGGGGAAGCACGGGCGTTAATCGGTTGGATCCTTACAGCGCGCTGCTGAGCTTGCAGGGGGAGCCGGGGGCACCCTGACTTCCTCCCCGTTGCTGGTGGCTCCAGCTGCCGCGCCAGAGTTGCAGATCAGCAACGCCCGGCTGTGTCACCCACAGGGAAGTCAAGTGTGACCCAATCTAGTGTGCCCAAGAATCTGCCAGCATCAGCCCGCAGAGCCCAAAGGGGAGCGAACGGCTTTGGCTGCAAAGAGGCCATAATCCCCTTTTCTCCTACAGGATCCCTGCTCTCTGGAAGTGGGAAGGTTTCAGTTCTGCTGGTGTGGGGGTGAGAGGAGGGGAGGACCCTCTCAGCCCCCTCCACTGAGCTCTGTCCCCTGGATCCTAGCAGATTGCAACAGGAAGGCGCGTTCTCACTTCTCGCCTAAGTCCCGGCTGGTTTCCCCTTGGCCAGCAGTAATTTGTCACTGGTTCCTTCGGCACGAACGCTGGCCGTGGGCACAGACTCAGAAAGCTGGAGACGGCCAGCAGACATCTCTGCCACAGTGACAGATTCCTTCACTCATGTAGCAGGAGGAACAGATGACGGGGGGATTGGCTTCTGCTTGATGCCCCCTCGATGTTCTCACACCCAGTGGGGCAAGAGCCTTTCTGCTTGCTTTGTTACCTTATTTTAATCTCTCTGACCTGTAATATTTTGTGTGTAGCTTTGGTTTAACATCTTTCCACAGCAAAACCCTTTTGGTAATGAGAGAGCAGGGCTGGTCCTTCTCGCTTTTTTTTAAAAAAAAAAAAAAAAAAAAAAAGAAAAAGAAAAATACCATTGGGAGGAAAACAGAAAAGTTACATCCCAGCAAACTGTTCCCATTTCCATCCCATTGACAGAGGAAGCGCCTCCCGCCTACACTCACGTTAACTCTGCAGTCAAATGCAGAGCCATGCTCCTGTGTGCGCTCCTTTCTCTCTCTCTTTCTCTCTCTCTCGTGTCTCACGCTCACTAAATCACATGCACATGGAGAGAAGGCTTTTAATAATTTAATGTTTCCAAGCTAAATTTTTAAATAGCCTTTTGTGGCCAGCTGGAAAATTGCGTTTGAAATTTGCCCTTGTTGCCTGGGCCCCGAAATTCTTCTTTTGGGAACGTAAATCTGGATCTGATACTAATTCAGGGCTAAATCCTTCGCAGACAGCTTAGCTGGAATGTTTTGGGTTCTTTTTTTTTTTTTTTTTTTTTTAAAAAAAAAAAAAAAAAAGAAACAGGAAAAAAATGTGGGGATTTTTCATTCTTCTTTTATTTATAAATTTCCTCTACCTTTCTGGCCACTCGGAAACTACCCAGGAGACAAAGGTTGTAACCATGGAGTTGCTTGTCTCCGCACCTGGCTAAGAGCCGGCTCCAGGTGGATAGCCCTCTTTCTGTCCAAGTTAGCCTGTGTGTACCCGAGGCCTGCCTGGAAAACAGAGCCAGCACTGGCCGGCCGAGAGAGTGCAGAAACCACCGTGTAAGCAAGCTCAGCCTGTGGTTTGGGTGTTTTTCATGCTGTTTTAATTCCTTGTTTCTTGTGTGTTAATATCGTGGAAAGGTAACGAATTTCTGAAAGGGATTTGCTTTGGTGGGAGGGGAAGTTCACGCACATTTTTCTTCCCGTTTTTTGTTTTGAAAGAGTCTTGAACACTCTTGTGTTTCCAATTGACTTGTTTCTCCCATAACATGCTTGTCTCTATAGAACACCTGGGATAGGAGTTGTAAGTTTTAACATTGCAAGGAAATGTTTTGGTTTTTGGTTTGCTTTTCTTTTCTTCTTCTAATTATTTCTTTTTCCTTATTCAGTCCCATTGTGGAGTTAGTGCAAGCAGGGCCGGGTGCGGGGGCTGGGGGGAGCACGGGCCGGGGGAGCGGATTTCCAGCTCGGGATCTCCTTTGTATCGGGTCTTCTCTACCTGGTACAGGTTCCTCCCCCCCCTTCTCTAAAGAGCAGATGGACTTCAAGAAGTGAGAACTCCTTTCTGGGGTTGGCACCTCTGCCGGGTGCTGATCCTGATTTAGGATTGCTCACAGTCTCACCTCTGTACTGAGCTCGGTGGTTCTTAACCAAAAGGTACCTAGGTGGAGGGGAGGGGGAAGGTTAGGAAGGCAGGAAAGAGGGTCGTTACTATCTTCATTTTTTTTCCTTTCTTTTTATTTTGGTTAAGAGAAAAAAAAAAACAATTTGCAGCTGACAGCCTTGAGAAGGCCTTTTTTTACTCTCTCTGTGTTTCCCCTATTTTTCTCTTCTCCTCATGTCATTGTGTTCCGCATCAAACCCCCTTAACATCCCTCAGAGCTACGAGAAGGTTGGTGTGGTTTTTTTCTTTTTTACTTTCTTTACCCACATTTTTACATTCTTAAGAGAAAAAAAAAATAAAAAAAAATAAAATAAAAAAAAATAAAAAAGAGAAAAAGCAAGAAATCTTTAAGATGAGCGAGACCCGCCCGTTCCCGGGTCTCGCAGAGATGAGTTGAGTTGCATTGTGGGCCTCTCTATGCATCCTTTGGTAATGTTGCTGAGTTCTTGCACTTTTTTGTCGTCATGGTTACCTTGCCGTTTGGACATTGGGCCTGATGCATGATAGGAGAATGTAACAATCTTCTTTGCATGCCACTTTTTAAATTAATTATGAATTATTTTTTATATATATATGTATAGTTTTTTGGTTTGGTTTTGGTTTTTTTTTTACAATTCTGGTTTATTTGAAGTGGATTTACTCTTCCTTTGGAAATTTTTTTGTTCTGTTGGGTTTTTTGCTTTTTCTTGGTTTCCTATTTCAGTTCTGATTGGTTATGCTGTGCTGTAGTTTATTCCAAACGCATTGTGAGAAGCCAGTGTTCCTGCCCACCCGGTGGTAACTGAACTCCTCAATCCCTCCAGGAGGAAAGGAGTCACACAGCTCTAACGCCTGTCCATGGAAGCCCTGCTATTTGGGACAAGCCTTTGGTTTGGGGGGAGGGAGGGATCTGGGAAGTGGAAAAGATGGTAAGAAGCCAGGGTGTTGTTCCAAGACTTAGAGCAGACCCTGGGTCACGTTATTACTGATCTGTTTCTTGGAGGTGTGGCTCTTGTTCCACATCCTGCACACAAAGAAAAACCCTGATCCCTGCTCCGAAGGGCTTCCCCAGCGAGGCAGAGCTCGCTCACTGGTACCTGCCCAGTTCCCTCCAGTAACACCTAAGACGCTGCCTAGGGGAGCGAATCTGCTTTCAGCCCGGGTTGGGCAGAGGCAGAAAGCTCCCTGCTGTGTTACTGAGCCACGCGCAGTTGCCTTTTCTGTAGCACCCGTGTGCGCGTGGAGAGCCCCATCCTCGGGCGGTGCCTTGTCTCACCAGCAGATCCCCTCGGAGGAGGGTGATGCCTCATCCTTGTCGGGAGCGAAGGGCGGGCAGCTGGGTCTCCTGGCTCTGCCTCTCCCCATTTACCCTCTCTTTTCCCTATCATTGACCCATTCCTGCCTGGCTGCCAGGTCCAGGGAAGGCAGAGCCCTCCTTTCTGAAGGAGCGTGGAAAGAGAAACGCAGCAGTGGTAGGCACAAAAGAGGCTGCTGGGACACATCTGGCAGCTGCATCTCTGTTGTAAACAGCAGCGAGAAACCTGACAAGTCGCATTCTAGCTGAAAATGCCTCTTTTCCCTCTTCTCATCTCCCTGTTTATCCCCATTAAGCTTCTGTTGCCTCCCATGTGTGCATCCTGAGTGGGAGAGCCACATGGGATCGTAAACAGGTGGGTTTTTTGCAGTGTGTTAGTTGGACCATTGGTGCTTGGTGCTTTTGCCCTTTGCAGAATTGAATGCCCTTCCTTGCCCTGTTTATGCATTTCCCTCCGCCCATCAGTCCTCACTACTCGATAATCTGCCGGAGGAGTGGCTTTCCTAGTGTACAGGTATTAAAGCTGTGTGATTTTTTGAGAAATCCAGTGCAGTATTGACACAGTATCTGTCTCTCTCTTTCTCTATCTCTCTCTTTCTCTCTGTCTGTCCTTCTCTTTTTCTTAAAATGCTGAGATTTCAGTGCTCGGACCCTCAGTGCTGGTATTTTCCCCCCTCCCCCTTTCAAGTCTCTCCCCCTCTCCCCTTAGATACAAGGGTACCACTCCAAAATGCTGCACTGTTGATAATGTCTTCTGAAGCGGCCAGCTGTGGCTCTTCTAACCTGGATGCCAACGATAGCCAAAAGGCATCCCCCCAGCCCCAATGCTCTATTTAAAGAAAAAGAAAAAAAAAAAAAAGAAACAGATGACGCAAAAAAAGGCTTGTTCTATTTAAAAAGAGCAAGAGAGAGGGAATAGTATTTGAAATGAGGTGTTCCCATCCCACCTCCCTCCTGCCTAGGACTAAAAGGTGATAATCACTACTAATTACAGGATTTTCCTTCATGAATAGGAGTTTGAGTTTCAGGATTTAGGTGCAATTAAAAAGGGATTTATACACCATCATTTTTTATTTGTTTATTTTCTCTTTTATAAAGTATTTCTAACATGTCCAAACTGCACTGCTGCTGCTAGAATCTCTTGTGATCTGAGAAGGTTTTAAGATTAAATTCTTCCTTAAGAGCCAATAAAAATAATAATAATAATAATATCAACAACAATAAACTAAAGCTAAATTGGATGTAGTCACGATAGGCTGGAATGACACTGGGCGAGGAAATAGGGACTTGATATCTGGCTAAAAGAGCTCGTACGGTTTGCTCATAGTTACGGATGTGGTCTCGAAATGACTGGTTAAGGGTTTGCCTTGTGGATTATTACAGCTCAGATCATGCCATGGTCCAAAATAGCAGAGAGCCTGCTAACAGGGAGTTTCCAAGGTTAAATGCAGAAGTACCTTTACGGAGACCCACAAAAGCAGATCAGAAGCAGGTGAGATGAATTCTG